TTACTTAGATGAAGATCAGACCACATTTTTTGAGTAATTAATTCATAAATCCTGGTTCACATACTTTTCTTGTGAGTGTACATGCTGCGGACAAAAGTGTCATTGATCTTTAGGGGTTGGTACTGCTTTAATATATCTAATAAGCCAATATAATGTTTTGTCTTGATCCTCCCTGCAGACTCATTGGCTGGTATCTTCCAGGCAGCAGGGATCCAAGAGATCCGTGAGTATTATTACTGGGATGACAAGCAGCGGGGCATTTGTTTGGAGAGGCTTCTGGAGGATTTGGAGAGTGCTCCTGAGCATAGTGTTGTTGTTCTGTCAGCGTCTGCCCACTACCCGACCGGAGCAGACCTCTCTCAGAGTCAATGGGCTGTGATTACACGGCTCATTACGGTAACTAACTTGTGCATTTATGCTCTCCGACAGAAGCTGAAATTATTTTTATCAGACAAGCAGCTTTTCACTCATACTTAATTTAATTTGCTCTCCTGGCACTGTTTTTCAACAGAGGCGTAGACTTTTCCCCTTCCTCTTGCTGCCTACACAGGCACTCTGCTGTGGAGACATGGAGCGTGATGCTTGGCCTGTGCAGCACTGTGCATCGCTGGGAATGGAGCTTCTCTGCGCTCAGTCATTTTCCCATTGCTTTGGACTATATGGTGAGTACGTATGTGCACTGAAGGGGCCGCACCTATCAAAATGTGCTTGTTGCACAAACGAACACTGCACTCTGCGGTGAGAAAACAACTGCGCTGCCTGGAGCTGATACAAGTCAGTTTGAACTCTTTCTTTTCTGAATGAACCGACTCAAGGTAATTGACAAGAGCAGCTCTTTACTTATCTTTGAACCATAATCGTCATCAGAAAAAGGCAGACTTCAGTAGCCATAGAGGGGAAAAATATTTAAAGGCCAAGCTTTACTATGCTGAGTGCATGAGATCAAATTTATCCAGTGTGCTCCAGGGACTGTGGATTGTTGCTGCATTCCCTGACTTTTTCTTCACCTAACCTGTCAGAAGAGCACCCTCTCTGTGTTGTGTGAGTTGAAGAAGCGAGTAAGAATATGAATAAATAAGAAACAAAAAAAGGGAAAAAAATTGCTGTTGTTGCACTTGCAGCCTTCGCACTTGGAGAGAGTTGGTGCTTGTTTGCAACTTTATTTCTGGTTTTAATATAATTTGACTAAAACATGAAAATGCAGCTCTGTGTTGCAGAGGTTAACACATTCGCTTACATGTGAAGGAGGGAGGAGAAAAACAAAACAGCCTCAGGGGGTCACAAGCTAGTGTACTCCTTGTGCCGGTCCCACGCTCAGATAAATGGGAGGGTTGCATCCGGTTTCAAATCTGTGCTAAATCAAACTTGCGGATCCATCCGCTGCGGCGACCCCTTGGGAAATAAGGGAGCAGCTGAAAGTACCTGTGAAAAATAAAAATGCATATGTCCTCATTAGAGTCTTTTGCAAATCTTGTTTCCAGGGGAGCTCATGTTTTTAGAAAGGGCTCCTCTGATCTTTGTAATTGGCTCTGGGATGAAATGTCGAAAATGAAATGTGCTGTTTTTCTACGCTCATCTTTTAACCACAAGTTAGAAAGAATCAAAAAAGTGGCAACTAAACCTGCTTCATGTGCATCTAAAAGCATATTTGCAATCTTTCATTTGTGACCCAGTGAATATTTACCAGAAAAAATGGAAAAACCTGACAGGCTTGCAGTGTATACTGATGCAAAGCATTTGTTTTCAGCAGAGTATAACGTTACTTTGCTGCTGCTGGGACATTCTGTAGATTTCTTCAAGCTGTTTGTTTCTTCAAATATTGTTTCCTTCACCAGGTGAAGCTGTTGGACACCTCCTGTGCGTCTTAAAGCAGAACTCCGTCCTGCTGCCCGTGCGGTCTCAGGCTGACAAAATAGTGAGATCACTGTGGGCCAGGCCATCCGTAGGAGGAGCGCATGTTGTCACCACAGTGCTCAGTAACTCAGCCCATCTTGTTGAGTGGTGAGACATGCTGCAAATGATCTGGCATTTGAAGAATTTGGCCCGGACATTAGCTGTTGCTGTTTTATCAGTACATGTGTTGTATGTCTCTTGATGTTATGGATACACGCCCCTTTCCACCCTCATTTTTCATAGTGTGCAGATATTGAATTATATATATATTTTTCTCACTGTGTTCCCCAGGCGGGGAGAGGTTAAGCACATTGTTGAAAGGTGTATGCTGATCAGAGCCATTTTAAGAGAAAAGCTGAGGCTTTTGGGAACTCCTGGTCGCTGGGACCATCTGACTCAACAAGGTGGACTCTTTTGCTGCACAGGGTTAAATGGTAAGAACTGAAAAGCACTGTTTCAGCCCCCCTCTCTCTTTTTTTTAGAATTATGTTTCTCGCAATCTAGAAGGACAAATGATTCACTGCATCAGCCTCGAACAAGGACAACATAAATGCTGTCTGATGTTCATAATTAGTTTTCTCAGCTCTTGCTTTGCCGCGATTCTCTGGAAGATCCTTTGAAACAGCTAATTGGCATTTGCAACACAATTTTTTAATGTATTCTTAAAGTTTATCAGTGTCTGATGCGCTTATTCAATCGCACATATTGCACACATATGGCTTATACGAAGGCCATAACCCTGATCAGTCTACATTGAATTGCTGTTTGTGATTTTAGTTTGGTTCAAAAAGTATAACTTGAAAACTTAACTGCTGAAGATATATTTTATGTAGCATTCATGTTTTAAAGAGAGCTTTTCTTCACATGACAATAACATAGGTTGATACGCTGATGAGCTGTCATGATTTTGCTTTTTTGTGACTGTTTTTTGGCCTTTTTAGGTGAGCAAGTAGAATTTCTGTCAAACAGGAGACGGGTGTACCTGCTTCCCGGCGGATGTCTAAACGTGAGCGCAATCAACTGCCGCAACCTGGACTATATAGCCGAGTCCATCCATTTGGCTCTGACCTCTTCACTCTGACCACGCAGCTTTTATCGGCATCCAAAATCTATGGGCTTCACAATGAGTTTGGACCTTTCAAGTGTTTCATTAAAATGTTCCTTTTTAAGTTAAGTGCAATTATGATGTTACTTAAAAAAGGGATGTTTATGTTTCCAGTGCTCTGTTGGGTCAGCCATATCAGGAGATCTGCTGGAAGCTTTGGAGTGATTTTCCTGTTCAGTCTGTTTTACATTAAGAGTTGATTGAGGTGTATATTTACATATTCTCATATCATATGTAGAATGTGAACAGAAGGTAGTGTAGAAAACAAATTACTTTTTTTCCTTTTTATGGAAGATGTTTGCAGAAATTGTTTCTACACCTCAGTAAAAAATAGATTCGTAAACAAATAAAAAAGAGTTAGTCACCGGGAGCTGCTAGACAGACTTTGTGTGTTTTGGACTTCTAGGGTAGCTTTTTGCCTTTAGTTCAATCATAATTACTGGCTGACAGCTGGCAGCAGTTCATTTTTAATGAAAAAATATTAGATTTATAGCCTTCTCAACTGAACGTGATTATGAAAGTGTCTGGATATGAAGTGTTTACCTAATGTTATTGATAAATAAATTTTTTGTTAACCCTCAAAGTCAATGTACTGCTAACCTCGGACCCTAATGTTGCCCCATCATAATTTGTGATTTTTGGCTTTTAAAAAATGTTCTCACACATATTAGGAGCTCAAGCTCATACAGTTTGGCTAATATTGCCTTACTTATTTACTTACTTAACAGTGGTAATATGAAATATATCGATTTACTTTTGATAAAATGCACTCTTTGATAAATTAAGTCACTCAGAAACTCATCATCACCATTTGAGGCATACATACAGTGGGGCAAAAAAGTATTTAGTCAGCCACCGATTGTGCAAGTTCCCCCACTTAAAATGATGACAGAGGTCAGTAATTTG